ACATAATACAACTAAAGAATCAATATACAGTTTGAAAAGCAACCCGTGAAACCAAAAGATGGTTCATCCTAACATAAGTAAGGAATGTCTCAGAAACCATTACAAGAATACTTATCACCTTTGAAATTGACGTCGCTCATTAGTCCACATAATCTCTTCATTTCATCCCATGCAGACCAAAAAAGTAGTATTGCAAAAGAAGACAAATCCAATATCATCTACAAAATAAATTGCATTAACTATGAGAAATATTTCATTAAAGTGAATGGATGTTCCTCTTCACCTAAGCATGCATGAATTTAGTTTAACAATAAAGCCACAGAATATCAGTGCACACAAATAACCATAAATATGAATTCGGTTGAACAATATACTTAAATTATGAATTGGAGAGACTCTAAGAATCAGAAGGAATTTCTGTCGGTTTAAGGGATTCAGAATGTAGTACAATATTAACAGAGCAATTTTAAACACTGAATACGAAAATCAAGGAAACTTTCAAGTCAATGTGAACAGCACATTGGATATTTCATTCAATACTATTGACAGTTATTGAAATTACAACTCAACAATATTCATAGATCTAACTATGTATCTGTTATATTATTTTACGGATAGTTATTCTTTAATCAGTCTACTTTGTACGTAATAAACAATAACTTTTATTCCGACAGAATTAATTATGTTAAGTATGATGTAATTCTGATTGACCGAGAAATTCAAATCATCAAATTTTATGTGAATTAAGGATATCATCATATAAATTAAAAAAGTCTAATATTTTAAAAAATGCCTGAAATTAGTTTTAAGTAATGACAGGATAATTATGCAAACGAATGGAATGGAATACATAAACGAATGAATGATTTGACTACTAAGAAGAATCAATTAAATTCATGTATGAATTTTAATTAATTAAAATTTTTTTTTATACATTTGATTAAAATTTTTTTCCAACTGATATACATCATACATACATACATGTATAATTGACTGATTGTTAAGTGTTGATTTTGAGCAAAAAATGAAATGCTTATTGTTTCATATTCACGGGATCCGAATATCACACACACACACACACACTCACGTATTATGCAACCACAAAACATAACGCATTACACTTATCATCATCAATTCCAAGCACCAAATTACCAAAACCACAACACTAAGATAGAGAACGAACTGACCAGAAACTTAAAAAAGAGATCAACAGTTAATTCTATTAAACACATACGAGCTAATTAAACCGATGAGTACTCATTTACCAAAGTCATATGGATTACCACAGGTACAGAAAGCGAACATTGCAATGACGTCAATTCTGGACATGTACGAGTCCCTTAATCATACTGTAGTAGGTTAGTTTTTCACCATTTTAAAACCAGCCGACAAACAGCTAGTGAGGCATAGTATTTATTAATGACGTATTCAAGTTCGTCCATAAGATCAAAAACATAAACACTTAAGAACAAACAGTGATGTCCACAGACGTAATATCATTGTTTACCGATGTCCCTGCCACTCAGGGAGACGGTCGAGTATTTCGGTTAATAGGGACATAATTAAAGAATTGATATTGAAATGTACCATGGACGTAAACTTCAAATTCACTGGTAGAATATATAGACAAATAGAGAGATAGTTTAGCGATGATTTCACCACCAAGTCCCATATTGGCTGACATTTTTTCGCCAAACTGGAAAATGGTCCACATGTAGGCACATCATAGTGATAAGTTTTAATTTTACTGTCAATATATGGACGATACGATCATTCTCCGTAAAGATCATAGTTACATGGTAGGAATACTCAAAGGATCGGATGAAGTTCATCCGGCGATTAAATTCACATGAGAGGAAGAAAATGGAGGTAGAATAATAGTTCTAATTGTTCTAACTACAAGGAGAATGAATGGCTCACTAAAAAGAACCTTAAACAAGAAAACTACTTGGGTCGACCAATACACAAGTGTTCTTAGTTTTTCTCCTTGACAATATATAAGAAAGTTGATTAAGACAGTTCGAAAAAGAACTAATACTATATGTCCTCCAAATATGGTTGCAGAAGAAACAATTACTTTACGAATTACCCAGGAAATAAAATAGGTATCCTGAGAAGTTCATAACTAAGATTTCAGTGATGAAAGACTAGCATAAGGAATTCCAGGTTGTGAATAAAATCTCCGTATATACACCTACAATTTAGAATTGATACACCTAGAGAAATGCTATACCACAGCTTTAAAGAGCAAATGAAAGAACCTTTAATGCAACGAAACTAAAATTAATGTTTTCAACATGTTTGATGGTTTGACTGAGATAATGAGATAAATTACCTACACTGGCAGCCTCTTTTTGTATTTATCAATTCAGCTGTTCCTGTGGCACAAGGTAAATCAGCGAATGTTTTCGAAATTCGTATTCTCGAGCTCGTGAACAGATCCCAGTGTAGTTAAGTGTCAAGGAGTCCTGGAATATCCCTAAGGAAAATTTATGGAAGCCAAGAAACTCCAGGAAACGTTTCGCCCGACCGGCAGTGAACAAAAGCTTTGCATAAACATCTAGAAAGTGGATATTTAGCTATATAGCTTCTATTTTAGTATGGTTGTCGAACCTTCCAGAATTTCAAGGTCGTGGGTAACCGCATTAATAACCTTATTTTTCTGTACACAAACTAACCTTGTAGTTAAGCATTCATCTCGTACATTGCACCTTTTCCCCTGTATTCAAATCACACTGTAGGTTTAGTCTGGGGATATTAGAAGCGGATAGGAATTCAGATATTGAGTTCGTTTAGCGGACTTATGATTTAGCAGAGATAGAGTTAAACCTGATATCAGCTCAAGTCTAGCTCATTTACTACAAACAGATTACAGCCGATACTGAGTAATCATTTTCAATAATATACTGTTTTAACAGCAATCCTTCAGAAAGCTGAAGCAATAGCTATTTGAATCATAAAGCAAGAGCTTTGCATCCAGAAAAACGTTCAACTAATCTTTTTACTTTGGCCGACTTCTGGTCTTATCAGTTAAAAAATCATTTGATGATAATTATCTGATTAATGTTCTAACAACCTCCCTCTTAGCATTCTCGTAGCTTAGACTTATTCACAAATCTGATCATTTCAATTACAACGTAGAACTTCGTACGTACGTACATCAGTTCAGGTTGCAATACCGCATTGGCACTGAGACACCGCTGTCAGTTCAAATCCCATGGTGGTAGAGATAAAGTAATAACGGCAAAGGAGAAGATTAGTGTTGGGAGATATTATTCAAGAAGTATAATTCATTGAGATAAATTTAAGAAGAGAAAAATAAGTATAATGAGGAATTCAGAAGATTAGAATTTGAAAGAACACAAAGAGTGGATGAACCTGTGCCATTGCAAACGATTTTGAGCCATGTCGTTCAAGGTCTCTGACCATTCGCGACTTTCGTCTCGCGGACCCCAACCAGGTAGTCTGCATCTACCAACACGACTCAGTTCACTTGTCGGCGACTCCATGGATTTGTGCCATGTTTTGGTTTAGCCGCCTCTAGCTTTTTTCCAACCTATCGCTACATCGCGAAACATAGCTCGACAAGGCAGACGGTGGTTGGGCATACATAACACATGTTCTGACCAACTCAACTGACGAAGTTTCAACACTTCACCTATCTGTTTGCTATTCCTACCTAGTACTTGTTTCCTAACGACAGCATCGCTCACTCGGTTGTCCCAGGATATACAAGCAATGCTTCGAAGACACCTGTAATCGAATACTAATAACCTACGAATAACCTCAACTCTTACCGGCCATGCTTCACAGCTATAAAGTAGAAAGGAGCGAGCTGCTGAGCAGTACACTCGTCCTTTAGTTAGCAAACGGATATCTCGCCTAATCCACAAGTGACGCAAGTTGGCAAAAGCCAGTCGAGCCTTCTGTATCCGTACTGAGATTTTGTTAGTCACCAGGCCATCAGCACTGATGAAACTCCCGAGATAAGTGAAGCGGTCTACACACTCGACTACTTCACTCCCTATCACTAATTCGGGTACCGATGTAACCCAATCTTGAAGCAATATTTTGCATTTCCAGGGGGAAAACCGCATACCGAACATGCTTGCATTGTTGCTTCGGGTGGTCAGAAGACTCTGCATTTTGTCAGCGTCTTCACCTAATAGGACTATGTCATCAGCATACTCTAGGTCAGCAAGCGTGCCTCCTGATAAAAGATCCACACCCGAAAAGTCAGACGAAGATAAGGTTAACTCTAAAAGCAAGTCTACGACAAAGTTAAACAGTTGTTATCAATGTCATTATAACACTTGCAACTTTTTGAGAAACTTTTTCAGCACCCACCCTTTTTCTCTAATATGTACATCATTCAAATTATTTAACATATTACATGTTTCCTGATTTGTAATAACGTTATTATCTCTCACACCCCATGTTAACTATGTTGATTCTGACTATGAATTACACAATTTCATTTTACACAGTAACCTACTCAAGTGAACATATCTCAACCATCCTAAATTCACATGCTCTAATTTGAAACAATGTATTTCGCATTAAACCTGGACACTTCTTGGATTATTAATTTGGATTTTATATCTGTAAATCTTGAAGGGACCTTGTTGGCAAGTATTTTCGTTGTTCATATATCTGTGTTTTGACATTATTATTAACCTTTTCTGCATTTCAACAATGTGATATAATATGCCTGGGGAATGTTGTGACTTAGTAGTGATTTACCAAGTAACTATTCATCGCCTTGACTTTCAATTAAACTTTCTGAGTAAAGCTAAGCGATGCAACATAAATGGACAAGTTCAGTTCAGTGCTATCTATTTCTTACACTTGTTGAATGTGTCGGATTTAATAACCGTATTGAAATACTGATATATCATTACATATAAATGCACGTTTACAAACGTAAATTCACATAGTACAGCCAAGGCAGATATAAAACTTCAATATTAAAGATTAAAACAATTCACTCAATTTTGTTTTTATCAATTCTATTTTTCTCAATTGATCAAAATGCACTAATTCAAATCAATCCACAACAATTCATCAGCAGTGTTCAATATTTTTTTAAATAGTATACAACAAAAGAATCCTAATAAAATGTTTTTGTTTTTTTTTGTTTTTTTTCCATTTTATTGATCTTGATCTGTGTTGAATTGGTTGTTTTTCATACATCTTCCTTCTTATCATGAACACAATGTTCATTATCTTGATAAGCCAAATCTTTACGTAGATTCAATTCTGTATTGTAATTTTTAAGAAAAAAAAAAGAAACAAAAAAGGAATCTAAATAAATCCTTTTTAAAACAAAAATTATGTTCGATTTAGTCAGATCGAAATTTTAATTTTTACATTACAGTTAACACATGTTATTGTATTTATTGCAAAAAGAAAATAATTTAAATGTGTAAATAGTCCCATTGAATCGATTCATTTAAATATCAGTATAATTACGGGATAAATTTCATTGGAGATTGAAAACGAAAGATAATTAAAAAATGGGGAGCAAATAGATCGTTTTTTTCTTGTCCGAACTATTCAGTTGTAATTCGATATCGATTCATTAAAGATTATTATTTTATTCTACGAACTGAGAGAAATCGGAAGTATGAACTAGTGATCATGAGATTTGAGTAGTCTGGAATCGATATCCGGAAGTGATTTGACTGTCTTTTAAAGTGAATAAGACACGGTTTCCTGATAGTGACAAGAACACAAATGATCAATTGAATATAGTCCTAGTGTGTACATAGGTTTACTCTCGAGTGGAAGCCTGTCATTTGGCGGAATTCTCCCATTTTTGAACATCGAGAAGCGTGTCACGCTCATATGATTTTGAGATAGTGAAGAAAATTTGTAGCTCAGGTATCTTCGGATGGCAGTTTGTGCTGATGATATTGTTCAGAAAAACAACGAAAGCTCCACAAACGAAACATCCAGCTTAGAGAACGAAACACCACAACATAGGTTTACTTTTTAAATCCCAGTGCGCCAAAATACTCAACAGTTAACATGATCAGAAAAATTCTTAACATCAATCATATACACAATATCTGCAATAATTCCATTGAACAATGTATCAATATTAAAGTTGGACTTGATCATTTCCAATAAATCGAGTATCGAATATAATAACAATGAAATAATTGTACTTTTGTGATAACCAAATTTCTATTCACTTCGATATGACAAAATAATTTAAACTCGATTTTTATACAAATTTAAACAGAATTAAACAAGATAGGACAGATCATTTTTAACGATCTAAATGATATGATTGAATAAGAGATGGTGGAGAAAATTTGAAGCTCAGATGAATTGACTACGGTGGTGTTGCGATCGCTGAGCTCAGAAAAAAATGATCAAATAAAAAATATGTTACTATGACTTCACCTACTATAAACATTTTTTTCAACATCGACGAGTTCCATTTGAATAACCGTAGTTCTGATTAACATTTCACAGTCTTCTGCAGTTTTTAATAACTATAAAACGTATCAAACAAATAAAACAATAGAAATGTATATGTGTGAACATTTTAGTCTCAGACGAGATCAATTATGGACTGAAAAGCATTGGGGACATCTTTCACTTTGATACTAAGTAGAAATAATTCAGATTCAACCGAAAAACAGTAGTTCCTATGTGAATGCTTTTAGTGGTCCGCGATTCAACTCCAGTTGGACGAATGATCGAGTGTGAGATGAAATAAAGCTTCTTTTTCATTTCCGTATATCATACTTGAGCAAACCCTGTTTGTGCGACGGCAGTTATAAGAAGCCAAATACGATTGTACGGACGAAACTATTTCATGCGTTTATTTAAGCTGACAGATAATGTGACTGAAAAGCGTACAATCAAAAAGAAGTGAATCGGAGGAGAGTGAGTTAACTACAATGAGCTGAAGATGACTAGGTGTTTATAGTCAGGCAATAATAGGCTAGACATGCGATCAGAAAGAAGTAAGCATGCACACACACATGCAAATTCAAATATACAACAGTCGATACTAGTATCGAATAATTTAAGCGACTAATCATTAAAGCTAGTGGAATGAATAAATGATGAGGTGCCATAGGATGACGAGTGGTAATTGGTAAGAAACCGAAATTCAAAGATTCCTGACGCTTATCTCCAACTTTATCATACGAACACCACTGTTTATATTAAGAAATGTTGCAACGATAATCAAATGTATATAGTAGGAAATAATAAACTTCCGTTTGATCAGAGGATCAAATGTTATATTTTAATAATATTTAATAAAATAAATGCAATTAAGAAGCCAACTTCAAGCTTATGTACACAGTTGTGAGCTGTACTTTTCCTACTTCTAATACCTAGCTGCACTCAAGTAAGCTCGGATCATTGAACTTAACGGTATATATATATATATATAAGTATTTTATTCACTGAACTACAGCTCAACCTATCTAACACTAAGGTTTATGCATGGGTTTTCAAGTTAGAGGGTTGGAAGCAGTCAACAAGAAGCCCCGAATCTATGTTTTGTAATAGCATTGGTTAGTAAAGTGTACCTGCAATCTTGACAGAAATGATACTCACTGGTAGACTCGAATTCGATCATCAGTACCAAAATCTGTCGGTTATGCTGGTGTAAAAGGCAAGTGTTTAGTGATCACACTATCAATCAGTCTGTCAGTTACAACGTACAACTTTGTACGTATGTACATCAGTTCACGTTGCCAATTCAGTGAGATAAATTTAAAAAGAGAAAGGTATAGGTGATGACAAATTCAGAAGATAAGAATTTGAGAGAACACAAAGAGTGGATGAACCTGTGCCATTGCAAACGATTTTGAGCCATGTCGTTCAAGGTCTCTAACCATCATGACTTTCGTCTCGCGGACCCCAACCAGGTAGTCTGCATCTACCAACATGACTCCGTCCACTTGTCGGCGACTTCATGAATTTGTGCCATGTTTTGGTTCGGCCGCCTTAGCTTTCTTCCAACGGACTCCTACATCACACTATAAATTACGAAAACGAAGAAAATCATCTAACATGACGATCATCATCCGAATACCACTTAAACTAGAATCAGTAAAATCAAATGTTATTGTGAGCGATTCAATAAGCAAATGGCTGTAAAAAAATCATCAAGATAAAACTTAAAATGATAATTGTGAATGTGATCTATGCTTGATATAAACTGACTCACTTCGTTTATTTTCTCAGCATCAGTTTCATTTCGATTAGCCCTGAACTCTGAATTAATCTTTTCTCTGGTGGCTAGACAGTAATATTCGCAGGCGAACAGACACACACAAACGTTTTGATAAATAAGCAAGACAAAATTTATGTATAACTGATAAATAAAAAACACACATAAATGATTAACAATGAAGCAAATTGATCAAATCAAAAACTTCTTATTCAGATATTCAGAATAACGAACAGGACTGAACAAAAATTATTTTCAACTAGTTTCTCAACATGGCTTTATGCGCTAACTACTCCAGATAAGCCCATAGTGCCACCTTTAATATTAATGATCATATGTATTTTGGAATATACAATAAAACAAGTACTAATTAACTGATGTGTAATAGATTTTCATACTGTTGCAAAACACACCAATGTATATTTATTGTTGACTTTACTATTCTTGTGATGCATAAACAGAATCAAGCATATATACGATGTGTACCGTTTCAAGCTGCCACAACACATCAAGAGAAGCGAGATGTCAGAATAAATAGTACAAGCAATAACAGTATGTGATGGTAAAAAAATATGTAGAAAAAATATAAACCAACAAGAAAATATGAATTGGTGTAATAGAAACTAAACAAATCATTAAAAATTTAAGGTAACTAAGAAGTTTGGGATGGGATAGAATGTAGAGAGTGGAAGCCTCTGTGACCAACTCAGAGCCGTATTACGCAAAGTCGCCGGCGCTATTAATCATGGATGAAACAATCAGACTGGAAACAGTGCCTTTTGTTTTCTTTCGCAAAACTCATCTATCGATAGCGTTGAATACCATTCTAGCATTATAAATTATATCAGCCTGTAGTGAGAACTCTAATTCTAATTCCTGGCCCTAGACTTCTAACTTCAACTTCTAAACTTAATTTCTTGCACTACTTTATAACCCTACTTAAACCCCAGTAGATGATTGAAATTTCTCAAAACCACTTTAACATTCCTCAAAGGTTGTCCGTAAATTACAGGAATATTTAAAAGATAAAATTCATCTATACAATCTAAGATGCATTAACGCTGATAAAGCTAGGTTAAGGAGAAAGTTAATCAGAAATGGACAACGTTGATGTATTTAGCAGGAGTGCACACTGGAGCAAATTGATACACTTCAAATCAAAACAGAAACAGGAATTTAACTCAAAAAAAATTTAAAAACCGAAACAACAGTAGCATCAACGATGGTAAAAGGTTAAAATATAGAGAATGAATAAAGTCTTCAAGTAAGACCGAAGTGAAAATAATAATAATAATAGTGACGAAACTTAGACCTCTGAAGATTCGTCAGTCAGTCAGTCAGATGCAACGTAGAACTTCGAACGTAAGTACACCAGTTCATATTGCCATACAACATCAGCACAGAGATATAATTGTCAATTCAAATCCAATAGTAGAAGAGGTAGTAAGGGTATTATAAGTAATCGAAGAGGTTAGGATTAGAAGATATTATTCAAGAAGTATGATACAGTGAGAAAAGTTTAGAAAGTCAAAACTAGAGGTGTTGAAGAATCCAGAAGATTAGGATTTGAGAGAACACAAAGAATAAATGCACCGGCGCCATTGCGAACGAGCCATGTCATTCAAGGTCTCTAACCATCGATTATTATCATCTCGCGGACCCCAATCAGGTAGTCGACAATTACCGACATGGCTCAGTCCACTCGTCAATGACTTCATACATTTCTGCCATGTTTTGGTCTGGCCGCCCCTAACTTTCTTCCAACCTACTCCTACACTACAAAACAAAGCTCGACGAGGCAGTCGGTGGTTAGGCATACGCAACACATGTCCCAACCAACCTCTGAAGATAAACGAAAGAGGATAAATCTGTGCTACCGTAGTCAAGGTAAGTTTATCCGAAGGGAAACCGTATTTGTTCATTTAGTCAATAGATATTTTTCACTAAATTTTTATGAGTATGATACCAATAATTATCAATTACTAGCCGGAATTAAAAAAAAAATTGAGATAAAATCTTTGAACTAAAAAACTCTGATTACACTTATCAACACTTTAACATAGTTTTAAAGAAAGTTGTTTGAAAACACTAATAAATCACTAAGATAATTAAATTATCAGAGTCAGATTGTGTCAAGAACCATAGATATGTCTATATTGAATTGACAATTGTAGAAAGTAAATAGTTTGGTTTTATAGTAGCTTTTTTGTACTTTTCCAACCAACCAATCAATCAGTCTATATGAATTTACAATTTGAAGTGAGCGTACATTGGCCTAAGTCTTTGTATTTTACTTAAGTACAACAAGAGAAGAAATAAACAATATAATAGAACATTAGATGAGAAATTTTATTGAAATTAATGAAAATCTAAATTTGAATAATAAATACTTACAATAAAAAAAATAAATACAATCGAATAATGAAAAATTGAGAATGATTAATTGAGTGCAGAGTGTTAGATGATGCCCCGCTGTGATTTACTTCACATCATGTCATCTTCATTCACCAGCTCAATATTCAAAAAGGTTTTCCATTAGATATAAATTTTGTACAAAGTACACTGAAATCGATATCTTTGCAATCATAATACTACTTTACAAGAAAAAATCTCTACACAATCAAACAACTCATAGGTTTGTCAGTAAGTCAATTATTAGACTATGTGCCCAATTATTATTTTCGATAATTAGTTTCTTCTCCAATTTATTTAATCACAGTGTTATAAATTATTATTGTTTACAATAATAATTTTTAAAAGATAGTGTGAAATGAATAAAAATCAAAAATTATCGATATAAACAATTAGATAACAGATTTTCAAAAATAATCAAAAGAATCTATGACCAAGTTAATTGTCATCAACTTTTTTACATAAATGCACAAATACAAAAGAAGATAAAAGTTTGAAGCATACAAATACGGAATTGCCTGAGAAATTCCAACATAATCATTACACTCAACATAATCATTGCAAACTATGTTTAACTTGAATAAAATGTGAATCAATTCACAAAACCAATTAGATAAAAGTTAGGAATTTACTTTGTAATGCTTCAACATCCCCTTTAAATACATTTTGACATGTACGATGAAGTTTTTTGAATATAGTTAAAGCCTAAAAATATAAGAAGAAAATTAGTTTATCATTTTTGTAAACACGACTAAATTAGACAATTTTATTTAGTCAATAAATATACGTTTTTGTTCAACAAAAAAAAAAACAGAGCAAAATTATAGAATAAAAAAAGACATTTTACATTTGTTATTTACTATTCCTACAATAAACTTTCGATAACTACTTCTTAGAAAAGATGACAAATTATCAATATTGTAATGAGTGTTGTTTTATGGGAATCGACGAAAAGAACACACAGCTGTTTACTTTTTTTAATCAAAATTATAAATTGACTAAGAAAGTTTTGTGAATAATATTCCAATAAAAAGAAATCAGATTAGTTGACATCAAAACTAATGGTTTATGATTGGAATGGAAATTTGAAAGATGTCAAACAACCATTGTTGAGACAATAAAACACAGAGCTAAGTAGTCAGTAGTTATTCTAAGAAAATAATTATCTAAATAAGAGAAACAATAATTCAATCTTCCGCTGAAACAATTCTGTTATTGTAGTATTTTTTCAAATAGCAATTAATTTTTTTTTAAACTGAGGTTTTACATTCAAACAAGACTGAATATACTTATAAAAGTTAACATCTTTGAAAAAATTAAACAACACAATAACTTTTCAATTTTGATCAGGTTGAGTTATTCACTTGAATTTATAATATTACAAAGATAATAAGAAGATTAACTATGCAAATAAACATGTCAAATAATTGTAAGATTAATTGTTTTCGTCTTATGAAATAATTCGTGTGTGTAAACAAACAGCTCCGCCTGTAAATCCTTCGGGGCTACTTCCGGTCCCAAGCCAGGATAAAGGAAGAGGGTTAGGCATGGGGTTGTCGAGCCAATCCCGCCTAACTCGCTAAAAAACGCTAACCAGAACAACTAAATCAAACCATTTTAACTCTGCCCTGCGAGTTGGAAGAAGAATTATGACGTCTCGTGATGAAAGCCGAGTTCCCTCGGAGGTCACGAGACCGATGTCCCTCCTCACAACCACACCAACCATTCTTTTCGGTACATGGAATGTTCTAACATTGTGGAAGACCAGAAGACTAATTCAGGTTGCTGCAAAAATGAAAATATACAATCTGTAGGTGCTTGGAATCAGTGAAATGCATTGGATTCAGGTTAGACAACTAAGACGAGCTTCAGGAAATCTGCTGTTATACTCTGGTCATGAAGAGGAAAATGCTTCGCATACACAAGGAGTTTCACTGATGCTGTCAACAAGCACAAAGGCACTGATAGGATGGGAATCTCATGGACTCAGGATCATTAAAGCATCCTTCAAAACAAAGAAGGCGGACATTGCAATGAATGTCATCCAATGCTACGCACCTACCAATGACTACAATGACGACGTTAAAAATCGATTCTACGAAAGGCTGCAGTCAATCGTCGACAGATGCTCATCAAAGGATTTGACGATTCTTATGGGAGACCTGAATGCCAAGGTTGGCATGAACAACAATGGATATAAAGACATCACGAGACGACATGGACTAGGAGAAAAGGAAGAAAATGATGAGAGATTCGCAAAATCTATGTGTCTTCACCAAACTGGCCATAGGCGGCACAATATTCCCACACAAACACACACAAAGTCACATGGATTTCATCGGATCACACTACTCAGAACCGAATCGACCACTGCGAAAAGCACCCAACTGCGTCACAAGACAAGCCCTTTCTTGGAACCCTCAAGGTAACAGGAAAAGAGGAAAGCCAATGAACACATTAGGCCGAGAAAAAATTGGACAAAATTGGAAAGGGAAGCCCAGGACAGAGTTGGTTGGAGAAAACTGGTCGGCGATCTATGCTCCTCTGCGGGTAACAGGCGTAAGTAAGTAAGTGTGTAAACAAACATTTTTGGTCAAACAAATGTCAAACACTGAAATACGTCTTCAAACAATTGTTATGCATTTACACTTATTTCAAAAATTTAAAACTTACTCGTGAACGCTGCATTTCAATCATATATAACATGACATCTATAAAAAATGTAAACAGTAAAACAATATGAACAAATAACAGAACGATTTTAAGCAAATAATTGTCACGATTAATGAATAATGATTTCACAATCAAGTAATAAGAACTATGAAGGATTTCAGTTTATGGTAGATGTATTACGATGAAATTAATTATAGAATACACTAGAGGTCATTGGATCTAAAGTATTTGATTAAATTCGAGCTGTTAGCCGAGTATTATTATTAATAGTCTGTATACAATAAGAATGTAGCTTAAAGTCGAATACATGTATTCACACTGAGTCACTGTTCTGTATAAAATTGGTGCTGGTTGTGAAAAACTAATTACAATAGGAGGGAACTGTGTAATAAAAGACGCCTATCGGGAATACTAATGGAACTACTAAAAAACTGTTATTACAATTTTGTTTTGAAAGCAAACAGTTCATCAATGAGTTGAATATTTCATTCGTAGAAAGATTATTTGGATATGTTCTAGCATCCAGAACACGTTTCAGTCAGTATATAGTGAGTGATATTTGAAAATTATCACCAGTTATACTGACTACCAACATTTGAACATTAAACTAAAAGACGAAATGCAATATTTGCTCATAGGAAACATTGCTATTACGCTAAAGAAAAACATCGATTCATATTGTCACAACCATAAGCATAGAATACACAAAAAACCGAACTAGATAAATAAAACATACTATTTATTTTATAGCCTATATTGTAATTCATTTAACCGGTAACCGATTTATTAACTCTACTTTTTAATTACATTATTTGAATGAAGATCAATGTTAGTACCCTGCAATAGGTGATGAGAGATTCGTACAGTACAATCTATTCCTTGAAATCGGAATGACTGAACCATTGATTGTAAACTAACTACTGATACATTTCTAGTACAAATTAAGTCATGTATTCACTTATACTGCTGATATTGTCAGTTAGGAAATAGGTAAACATGAACTTAATCATTATTTAATAACAAATAAAGCAAATAATTAGTAAATAATTTGAGAAACTTCAGTAGAGATGATACACTAATTGATTGTGTGCATAGCATCCATTCAATGAAGGGAAACAATCATTGCATTAGTTTTCAAAAAGTTGTTGAATTGTTTGTTTATTTTTTTTTCAACACAAAACAAAACATAAGCAAGAAATCGATAACATGGAATTTTTTTATTATCAACACTGTTGTGAATATAAACAGAAAGAAATACTCTGAAACAAAATATGTAAACAATAATAATAACAATAGAAAAAAAAATAAGCATCAACAATCAAAATAAAATATAACAAAACTAAAATTATTAACATAGAAATGTAAACATACAATTATTGTCCAAACAAAATACAGATAATAAACTGACAACAAATAATTATGAAATAATTCAATAAAGAATGAAAAACAAGAAATTTAAAGAACAAATAAGATTTGATGAACACACAGAAACATGAAAAGCATGATTGTCAATGAAATAATGATGCATGATGAGTAGAGAGGCATTCAACATCAATCATAACTCAACATTAATAAATAGTCAGTGGAATTTAGTAAAACAAAAAAAAAGTAAATTATGCACAACAGGGAAAGAAATGGTTATATTTTTGTGACGAATTTCATCAAACTAACATGAATGGTATTTGAGTAATTTGAAATAAATTGTTTTAACCAATTAGTATGGTGAATATTATTCAATGTTCGATTAACTGACAATGATAGGATTGTAGTTCGTCTAGTGAACTTATTTGTCCAATGTCCTAAAGCAAAGAAAGAGAAAAATAAGTACACTTTCACATACGTACAACTGACTAGTTGATTATTATGTAAACAAACAGTTCAATAAGATTGATCATTGAAGACGAAGTGAGAGAGAGAGAAACCGGAGTGGCCCATTGTGTCATACATAGAGAGAGAAAAATAAAGCAAGGCTGTTTCAAAACATCATCTTAAAGAATTACTCCTTCGATGGACTTTCAGTGTGTAGTTTAGATTTAATTCTATAGACAAATTGATGGTGTACCGATAGGGTCACCCTTTTGGTTTTCTCTTGGCCGATTGGTGCTTGGCTAATCTGGGAAATACTGTAATTAAAATAAAAATTGAGGTTTTTCATCTTTACAGAAGATAATTAGATGACACTATCATTTGTGATGAAGATGCTGACCAAAATAATATTTTGGATAAGATTAATAGATCCTATCCATCAATTAATTTCACTATAAAATCGGAACTAAACGTTGAATTCCACTTTTTGGACATCCGGCTGAAAAGGAAAACAGATGACCCTACACAGGAAACTGACTTGGAAGAGCCAATATATAAATTTTCAGAACTGGGTTGCACTGAGTAGAAAGAGCAATTTGATAAATTACTTAACCTAAACGGCCAGAGGAATCTGCATTGATGGAGCTATTATTAACGAACTAGAGGAACTAAGAATATTTACGACTAATTGGTATCCTCCCAAGTTCATTGATATAAATATGAAACTAAAACAAGCACGAGAAAAATCAGACTATTGGGTTCGTCACTAAGTATGCTTAAGGCTATTACGAGTTTACCTTAGTCAATACACGCGAACGAGACAATTACCAGCGTCCAGATAGGCTACCTTGAATCCCAAAATAAAGTAAGAAGGCTTTGAAAGCGTAGAAAGTATATTCTACAACACCCAGCAATCACAATACCATCAAGCACACAACTCTCGTTTATTTATACCTCATAGGAACGTCCTTGGGACAGTTACCAAAATAGCACACTAAAATACACAGCAGCCAATCACAGCCATGGATTTTCCTGGTGGGAAATGATTCTCAAGGTCTACTGATCAGCCCATGCTCGCAAACGTGAAATCCAAAATAAGGCATTTGTCAAGCGAGTTCTGGGGATCTAACATCCCCAACGCAGACGTACCACGGGAAGGTAATTTTCATGAAGAAATAATTCAAGGAGAAACTGATGCTGAGATCTCGAAAAATAGACTCCCCAGAACTCTAAAGAAAACCTAGTCAGTTGAACTCTGCATCATTTTTTCTAGCCAACCTATGATTTAGGGATATGTCGAAGATAAGATTCCGCTTTGGGTCAAATTAAGAAGTATTGACAAGTGTTGTAAACGCGGCTACGTAAATCTTCAGTCCTAACGGCGTCCAATTCAAATATCACAAAACGACCCAAAGGCTTTCCCAAATCTCCTAGAAATCAGAACGTAACACCGTGGCAGGAAGATGTTTATTGGGTCGTAACAGAAGAAGTAGGCAGGGGAAACGGAATTATTAAGTCTTCCAGATAGCGCGTATTTATACACTAAGGTCGAATAAGAAAAAGCATCAACGTCCGTGACATTGACAATTTAGGACGACCAATAGAAAAGAATATTTGAATGACATTGACCGTCCAGATGACCAATAAGAGATAACATTGAAGTATTTGACCCTGACGGTAAGAACGATCAAAATTTCGGCCAATAGAATTCGACCAATAAGATTGCAGTTCTAAAAATAGTATTCTTAGGATATTTGGTGAATATCCTAACACCTCCCTCTGAAAAAAAAGAAATTAATAGCGATGCAGCCGAGGATTTATCTGAATTTTCTTTGGTTGTTTACGTTTGCGATCCGACCACCTTCTAGATAGCAACTCTGAACTTGGAGGATGTTCTGCTTGAGTAGATGACTCAGTAGTCTCTGTTGGAGTTATTGTCGGAAGTTGAAAAGTATCCAACAGTAAGTCGAGTGAGAGGCGTTTCGTAATGTCACCCTTTTTATCAGCTTCCCTTGGCCTTAGTTGATTATGGTGCCTGGTCCAAATATCTCGGCTCACCCTGACATCATACATTACGTTCCCATGTTTCTTAGTGACTTCACCCTCTATCCATCTATCATATCCGTGTCTGTAGTCCCGCGCATACACTTTCGCACCAACTTCATAAGGCATTCGCGTCGTCTGCATTCGAGGTCTTTGTTGGGCCAATCGCTTAGGTGTCATCGCACTATGAACTGTTCGTAGCTTCCGTCCCATGAGCATCTCAGCAGGGGATTTGTAGTTTGGTAATAAGTCATGTGGGGTCGTCCGATACACGAAAAGGAATTTTTCTATGATGTCGTATGTGGTCCCCTCCCCTCTTGCTTTAAACATGGCTCGTTTAAATGTGTCAACGAACCTTTCGGCTTGTCCATTAGATTGCGGGTGATATGGCGGAGAACGGACATGCTTGATCGAATTTTGCAGGCAAAACCCTTGGAATTGACTGGATGTGAACTGCGAACCATTGTCTGTTACTATTGTTTCTGGAAGACCATGCTGACTGAAGATCTGCTTAAGAAGTTTGATGGTTCGAGTTGTAGATGGTGGGGAAATCGGCAATATCTCCGGCCATCTGGAGAAAGAGTCAACCAGTATCAGATATGTGGTGCCATCTAGGGGTCCGGCGAAATCAATGTGCACTCGTGACCAGGGTTTTTCTGACTTTGGCCAGGGTACTGAAAGTAACTTGGGATTTTTCGCAGCTGTTTGACACTGTGAACATCTTCTGACGAAATCGACAATGTGCCTATCCATGTTTGGCCAATATGCATATCTCCGAGCGATGGATTTCATACGGTTTATCCCTGGGTGTCCAGAGTGAAATTGGCGTAGGACCTTGGGACGTAGGGTTGTTGGAATTACTACACGGTCACCGAACATCAGACAGTCGTTAACAACACATAGAGCACTGCGACGATTCGCTAGATGTTTCATATCACCACTTAGCTGCTTAACTGGCCATCGGCTCTGAACATACGTGATCGCTTCTTGAATAAACGGGTCGTCCCTGGTAGCTTTTTGAATATCTTCAGCGGTAACAGGCATTGCTCGAATGGCATTCGCTAAGAGTGTAGCACTGGGATCCTCTTCTGCTAATATTGTAGCTATGACTGTGTCATCATCAGTGGTGGAGTGGCTACTGATAAGTCTGGACAGCGCATCAGATATCCTAAGAATACTATTTTTAGAACTGCAATCTTATTGGTCGAATTCTATTGGCCGAAATTTTGATCGTTCTTACCGTCAGGGTCAAATACTTCAATGTTATCTCTTATTGGTCATCTGGACGGTCAATGTCATTCAAATATTCTTTTCTATTGGTCGTCCTAAATTGTCAATGTCACGGACGTTGATGCTTTTTCTTATTCGACCTTAGTGTATAAATACGCGCTATCTGGAAGACTTAATAATTCCGTTTCCCCTGCCTACTTCTTCTGTTACGACCCAATAAACATCTTCCTGCCACGGTGTTACGTTCTGATTTCTAGGAGATTTGGGAAAGCCTTTGGGTCGTTTTGTGATATTTGAATTGGACGCCGTTAGGACTGAAGATTTACGTAGCCGCGTTTACAACAAATTTGGCGACGGGTTGGTGACTAAATATGGATCCAGCTACATTAGAAAAATTGTTTGCACAGCAGCTGAAGCTGATGGAGATGCTTACTCAGACGCACATCTCTTCTCAAGTCTCATCTACACCAACAATTCCTCAGTCAGTTGATGGTATGACCAGTAGTATTTCTTAGTTTCTGTATGATCCTGACGCCAATATTACATTTGATACTTGGTTCATGCGTTATGAAGATCTTTTCAAAGTTGATTTTGCTGACAAAGATGATTCCTGGAAGGTGCGTCTCCTCCTTCGAAAACTTGGTCCGTCAGAACTGGACAAGTATCGCAACTTCATTCTACCGCAGAACCCACGTGACAGATCATTCGATGCTACGGTTCAGTCCCTCAGCAAACTTTTTGGGGATCAGCATTCTATTTTCAATACACGTTATCGTTGTTTAAAACTAGTCATGAATGAGTCCGATGACTTCTTGACTCATGTTGGTATTGTCAACCGCGAGTGTGAACGGTTCAAACACAGATCCCTTACGGATGACCAATTCAAATCACTCATATTCATATGCAGTCTACAATCACCCAAATTCTCCGACATCAGAACTCGATTGCTTAACCGCCTCGAACAAGACCCAACACTGACACTCGATGCTATCGCTGATGAGTACCAACGCATCACCAACTTACAGTGTGACAACACTTTGGTTCAATCTGGGAGCCACGGTGGTTCCGAAGTTCACGTTGTTCAGCAACAGAACAAATCTTCTAGATCGAAAACCTTTGGTCGTTCGAATGCCAGTTCTGTTTCTAATCACTCAAAATCAACGCATAAGAAGCCCCCCTCACCATGTTGGCACTGTGGAGACTGGCATTATGTGAAATTTTGTCCATTCAAGCAGCATGTGTGCAATCGCTGTCAGAAAATTGGTCATAAAAGCGGTTTTTGCCAATCAACCCGATTCACTGGCCGGCGAAATTCACAGTCGCAGCGTCGTTATTCCAAAAAGCCGGTTGCTGCATCTAGGAGTTTAGCAGCAGTCTTCCACACCGATGCTTCTACTCGACGCAAATTTCTGACCCTCTCGATCAATGGTCAGCTGGTTCGGTTGCAGTTGGATACTGCATCAGATATCACTATTCTGTCAGAAGAGACTTGGCGAACCTTGGGTCAACCACGC